TCATTTGTAAATAACACTGTACATAGGTTTGCAACCCCATGGTGCATGTGAATGAAAAAGAATATAAATATGACATCCTCCCTATGCAATATGAAAAAGAATTATCAAATCAATAGGTAAATGTGGTGAATATCCATTTACATAAAAAAAATGTTATGAATATCCATGAAGAAAGGTGAAAGGGCATGTTCCAGTTGACTAAATAAAATAATTGATATAAGCTAACTTAACAATGATAACAATTAATTCCCAATTATCTTGTTTTAACCCAGCCTTGACCCAAATAAAAGCTGTAAGCTACAATTGGCTGTCCTGTTAAATGCATCATCAAACTTGTCATGAAAACTTGAACAACTCTTAAGAGCTGAAGGATAATTGCTAGAGAATTAACCCACTTATCATGACTGTGATGCAATTTTCGTTGGAAATAGGAGGACTTTTTGGTCAAATGGTTTCAATATAAAATAAGGTTCCTAGGTATGAAGTCACGTTCCCTTGATCAAGGCACTTTTACTGCAACATAAAATTTCTTATCACAAGCAAAATTTGCGTGATGTAGGACAAAGAAAGGTTGAATACAAACTTAGAGAACTTTTATTAAGGATAAAGCTTGAGATCTTGGATCTTAATAATCAAAATAATATCTCAATATATGAATGATAATCATCAATTGTCTACTAATAACTAAACTAGTTATGTTATTTGTAGGCGCAAAATACATCAAAAATAAGAAATTTAGAAAACCTAATAAGTAGGAGAATAAGTTAAATAGAAAGGACTAGAAAAATATGAAATCTAGGAAATAGGAAAACAAAGCATCCTATTTTCCTCTATTATGAAACTTTCCAAAACTGATAAAAGGAAATTAAATAAAAGAAAATTAAATGAAATTAAATATTCTTATTCCATTTAGTTAACTTAGAAAAGGAAATGAAATCTTCATATTTATTTTAGTTTACTTCCCAAAACGTTTATGCTCCTTTACTGATTCTGTCTCATATTTCTCATTATTGAAATTCTATTTTAAGAACTTCACATTCTGCATCAATGTGCCTCTAACTTTGCAGAATATACGGCTAAATAATACCACACTGGGACTATCTTTACAAACCATGTTAGCTAAACCCACTCCTGAGTAATTACAAGAATACTAAACAACTTATTCCGATCTTTTGCAAGATGAGGTTTACTGCATAAGTCTAAGAGCACATGAGATTGAAGGAAGGAACTGTTGGAGGATCTGGAGAATTAATTTCCAGCACATTGATAGCCAAATTTGCTGGAAATTAACCCTCAAACCTCTCGAAAATAACAAAGTCATAAAATTTTAGCTCTAATACCAAATTAATGCATCACAACAGAATTGTGTTTTGAAGGATAGAAAATTTGAAGAAAAGAAAAGATAAATATAATCCATTATCGCAGGGATTGCTAACAATCACAATCATAGAGTTGTCAGAAACACAATGAATGGTTGTTTGGCACTCAATTAAATGAGAGAAAATCAATAGGTTTTGTTATAAGCAATCTAATTAAGAATAATGAACTACCCATGTATTTATAGAGGGCTTACATAACCTAATATGACTAGAATCCTTAGGTAGAAGATAATAAAGAATAAGACTACCAACTATATAAGAAATAAAATCTTCATAGATATAAAACTCTTGCTAAAATATAATAGTTATCGCAGCAATTCTGT